GCAAAAGATTGAGACGGTCCTTTAGGTCCTTTATCTGTCAGATTACATACTTTGTGTTGACTCCTAATATTAAGGCTTGCTTCTAGCTTCTCATTTTTTCCTAATAAAATTTTAATTCTCGTTTCTAACATATCCACTTTATTTGCTTTTTCTTGGACTACCTTCAATATTTGTTTCAATTATTTTAACTCCTTTTCCGTGCTATCAAATCTAGTTAGCAGTAATGCATATTCTTTCCGTTGCTCATCCAGCCGAGATTTCAATTCCCAACGAAACTCCCTTATCTCGTCTAGAATTTGGCTTTCATTATCAACTCCTTCGGTTACTTCACTTGGATTTCGACGACAGCCACGATCAGTGTTTACATAGTTGCTCGGCGTAAACTTTTTGTTTAATATTATGTTTCCTCGAACCGGTGTATCAGTATTATCCCTTTTCGGTATCGTACACGCAAATTCAGGACATATCCACCGGTTCTTGTGTTCCTGTACGAATGCTTCAAATTTCTCCTTCGTTAAGGCAAGACACTTCAGATGAAATTTTTTCTTGCATATTTCTTTCGAACACTTCATAAATAGTGAATCCACGATAACGACATCACAGCCCCTACATTTTGTATCCATTGAAATCAAGAATAATATTTTTTAATTTGGTAATAAATACGATCCTTGACACGTCCGTTCGCTAGCGCGCGCGGAGTTTATTAGTTATAATATCTAAGGTAACCTAATTTATTACAAAATTTGTCTTGCGATACCCTTCATCTCATGATGTTTGTTTTGTATTAAACGTTTTGTTCGATTGTTAAATATAAGTCATACTTGAATCAAAATGATCTTCATATGTATTCGGGTATCTTCTTGCCAGTTTTAGCCAAGTTTTTCTTATATTTAAATCAGATAGCACTTGAATCCATAACTTTCCCGGCGTTCTTATGCTCGTATTTTTGCAATCAGGCACAACACAAAAATGATTTAGATGATCACTCATTATTAAACATTAAAAATTATCAAATCACACACACAATTTGCAAAATCGGCAGAATCGACGACTGTGACGCCACGAGTTTTAAACAACATGGCGGCTAGCGTTTTCATGCGAAAATTTAAAACGATAAATTAAAAGTAATTTTTATGGCACTATTCGGTTTAAAAAAATTATATAAAAAATTATCACTCTGGGATTCATTTTTGAAAACTTTTTTCTCACTTTTTTTTAAAAATGGGTAAAATACCCTACTGATAATTTCATGGAAAAATCTTTTTCACTATATATATGCTAATGTCTCGATCGAAAGCTTAGAGAAAACAAAAGCGAGCTAATATGCGCTAAGAACCTTGGTCTACCACGCCAGAGTGCGCGAGTTCAAATTACAAAATTCTAATTAGGAGTTTGATAATCTTTTCATTTATATTTTACAGCATTTTTTTATTATTTTTACGGCACCACAGCTGATTTGTAAACAATATTAAAGAGTAATAAAATGTTTTCTTAGCAGGGCTACGTAAATGTTTATGGCGCTATGCGTCCCTCAAGCTTTGGTTGAACTTCTATTAAATACTTTTTGATTTTTAAAATAAAAAAGAATATAATGGAACTGGTTTCTTGGAAACTTGTACTTAGATAATGTTTTACTATAGAAGTGATAACAGTGCGTTTTGTTGCGTTCAAACCTCTTGTCTTTTAATTTAGTTTGGGCGGCCCACATATCGATCAACGCTTACGGAGAGAGATTTGTTTGTAATAATACCCAGTTCTCGCTCAAGTTCTATCCATGTAATTCGTCGATTCCTTATATAAGTTTATCGACATCTTCCACATTTTGAGTGCCAACATAATTTCGCTGTCCTCTATTGAATTTTACAAGCCAATAAAATATTTCTAGTGAACAAGCATATCCATTAAAAGTAGTAGAAAAATTGTGAAAAATTTTTGGGTAAATAAAATAGCACGAAAATCACGTTGACTGAGCTTCTTTTATGGATAAGGGTGACAAACGAGCACACAGTTCACCAGATGATAAGTGGATGCTGTGCAGATGCCTATAAGATTAGATGCTATATAGATTTTCCATAGCCATAGCCATATAGCCATTCATATAAAAAAGAAACCTCGATTATAAATCAAAATGCAGATGCGTTGTCACCCGTGAGGACTAAGATACTGTGGAATGCCTCGTATCCAGTAAAAATGGTCTCCGATTCTCTACATCCAACATACGAAACACAGCAGCATTAAGCTACTATTTGACGCTGGTATTCTGTGAGAGCGTGGTCCTTCCCCGGTCGAACCGACCCATTCGTGCTACAACTATATTACTAACATAACTGCAGCATCGCTCTACCACGTACAACAATTTAATTTGTAAGCTAATTTTATTTACTGATACCATACTAGCGGTTCTAAGAAACGACAAGTTTGTCAAATAATTAAGATTTGTTTTTGTAATTTTAGGTATACTAAAATGGTCCTTAATCATTTGAATAAAAGGTTACTTTGATAATGTCTCTATTTTATTTGAATACTTACGACTATGTCCAATAACTACGTGGTAAATAATTAGGTACGGGCTGGACGCATGTGATAGGTGCATGGTTTTTATGTTACCCTGGTTGGGAGCTTTAAGCCAAAAAAAGTTAGCCTTATAATATTGATAGCAGTTGTTACGTAATTTTATAGTACCTAATTATTTTATTTAGGGACACTTCCGTATAATTTATACGTGGTAGAGCCACGCTGCAGCTACATTATCGTTGTAGCACGAATGGGTCGGCTCGACCGGGGAAGGACCACACTCTCACAGAATACCGGCGCAAAATGGCATACTTCATTTTCATATTTTTTATTTCTGCATCACCCAAAGATTGACTGGTAGAGAATGCCTAAGACATTAAGTCCGACTATACGTCATATTGTATGAAGTTTAAATAAATAAATAGCAGCGCAAAACACTGCTGAGTTTCGTATGGTGAGTGCAGCGATCCGAACACCCTTTTTTTTACTGGAAACGAGACATTCCATCTTAGTCCTCAGGGGTGATAACGCATTTGCATTTTGATTCTTAATCGAGAGTAAATGTAGATGTCTATGGGCCACATATAATAACACACACAATTAATAATGATAAGTAGCCCTAATTTAGAAATATCTCCAAAATCTAAATTAAAAATTATAAAAGAAAAAGAAGCTACTAAGCTATATACTCGTATATATCATACACCAGAACATTGTTAGCTGCCTTAATAAATCTGATATATTAACGGTTCATATTCAGGAATTATTGAACAAACAAATAGATATAGACGTATTGTGTATTATCTTATAATGTTTGGCCATATAAAATTAATACAAATATCCAATTACAAGCTAGCAACATGCTATTCAAGAAAAAATGTTAAGCGTGGAGGAGCCTGCATCTTGATAAAAAAGTGTCATGAGTACACAAAATTTCCAGATTGAAACAAAAGTGCAAAAGCGAAGTAATAGACTTAGTCTTATCAGACCATACAGCCCAGATTCTATAAATAAAGTTAACAAATTAAAACAATAATGATTTCTTATATTTACGCGAACACTACACATGATTAAAACTACTTTTACGGATTTTATCGCGTTTATTTTTGCTTTTAATTACTTTTATTTTTAATTCCCGACGTTTAAAAATAAAAGTAATTCCCGACGATCCCGACGTTCGTAAAACGTCGGGAATTAAAAATAAAAGTAATTAAAAGCAAAAATAAACGCGATAAAATCCGTAAAAGTAGTTTTAATCAAATTAAAACAAATAAAATCTTGGCGCCAAACAATAAGAGAGACCTCCAATGAAAATATAAATAAATTCAGTAAATATCTCCAACAGATCATTTTCAGACGTTTATAGTACTGACGACCCTAATGCCTATGATATTTGATTTTATCGACTTATTTCTTTTATTATATAATTTAAGGTTAATTCTTTTATTATATTTACTTTTAAGTACGCACTGAAAAATCAATTAAATGGGTGTCACATTCGGATTTGTAGGAAAAGACAGCGCCATTTATTGTAGCAAAAGATATTAAAACCGACATGTGAAAATAAAAACACATTCTATGCATATTCCCGAAGACTCAAAAAAATAATTAAACTGACTCAGAAAGCTCAAAATAACCATCTCATCCAAAACTCAAAAAATAAGGCAAAACATCTTGGCAAATAGTAAATTTTAACAAAACAATTAAGGGACCTATTTCTCAGATAAAAAAGATGACTTGTTAATAAACCCTAAAGAAATAGAAGAATCATTTAACAATTCTAATTTGAATTTGAATTTTATCGACCATATCACAGATATACCAAAAAACGTATGAGATGACATCAAAAAAATTAATTACAACCCACACTCGATATTTATATTCAAAGAGCTGTATTAAAAGTTGCAACATTCCGCCCTATTCTATTTCCGTCCCATCTCTTATACAAATCTTATAATATCCTCTCAGTGCGCCAGTTATTCGTTATGAGTATGTTACTAAAACAGCACTTAAAATTGCCTTACAGAAGAGAGGTCACTGATAAAAGACGCAAAGATAAAGTAATTGAAACTAACATTAGAATAAGGCATTATTTCATGCGTAGATTTTTTACATTCCTCGGTACTTTTTTGTATAATCTAGTCAATGCAATTTTGTACATATATCCATTAAAAATGGCAGACTGTAAAAAGGTAATTCGAACATGGTTACAAAATTTGTCATAGTACGATGATATCGAGAAGTTGCTGATTGTTTTAAGTTAATTAATATCATAAGTAAATTAATGATAATATATTTTACCCAAATAAAACCCTTATTAGTTAGTACGTTATTCATTTTATGTAAGAAACAGAAAATATTTGTTAATGTATCTTTTAGCACATACACCTGAGATACAGGTTTATCCTAGTTCAGGTGCCTGTTATTGTAGACTATTTTTAAATTAAGACTTATTGGAATAATTTGTACAGTGTATCAACCAAAAGTCAGGGAGCGACTTGAGCCTCTTGGAACTGTCGGGCGAGCACAGTGTGACACACCATAAACCCCTTCAGCCAGTAGTGATGCAGCCCGTCGAGTCCCGGACTTTTCCAGTTCGGGGCCCTACGGACCGCCTCGGCTACGTCATCCGGCGTTATAATGACGGGGTCCATGGGCGTTATACTCGCACACTGACTCGCCACAACTTCCGTCCAAGAGCCCTCGCTGTGGTTTACGGGTTCTGACCACAGGCCGCGCCAGAATGTTACAGTGTCGACCTGATTCAGTGCTGGGCCCGTTCCACTTACCATTGGTTGCTCCAATGATTCATAGAGCCTCTTCTGATCACTCTTGAAGAGACGATTCTGGTTGAACCGAGTCGACCTCTCGGTATATCGCTGAACCCGCTTTCCCCAAGCAGCGATTCTCTGCTTCAGATCATCTATGCGCTCCGTCAGTTTTTGCATTATATCCGGCTGGGACAAACTGACATTTGTCCCAACAAATGCCATCCTGACGGTGCGTACAATTCTTGGCCTGTTATTGCCTTATCTGAAGCATATCAGTCTGCCGATGAGAGCTCTAGCCTTTGCGGTACGCTCCTCAATTCTTTTTCTCCATGCTGGGATAGCGCTACTTTGGCCAGTAGTGCGTCCAGCCGTGGAAATCTTGGCGCCTATGATACGGCAGAGTGCCAGCGCGGCGCCAAAAAGATTGAGTCCGTATCGCAAAGATCCCGGATGGCTTCCAAATAGGTCACCAGCATTGGGTTCAGAGCCCTCACGACAGCCCGATTCCGCTTGCTTAGGGCTATGCAGGGAAGTGGCGGTCGATTTTCGAGAGGCGTACTGCGCGTTTCCATAATCGCCTCTTCCAATGTACTCCTCGTTTGCTCTATTTCTAGTTCCTGGGCGAATGTTCCATCATCATTTGAATCAGCCACCACTGGGGTATTCACGGCGGTATCCACGTGTGCGGGTTGTTCTGCAACTTGTGGCACCGCATCCTCAGCCGTAGCATTTTCATTTGACGAGGGAATAGCCTCACGTCGTAGCCGTTCGAGTTCGGCGTCATCAACCGTAACGTCGTTACCGTCACTACCGTCACTTAGTAAACATCCAATGCGTTTCGTCCGTTGAAATTAATGATTATTTAGTGTTTAAAGTGAAGTGCACTACCAAAATCTCTCACCTAAGTGTAGTCTATTGTGTGACTAATTAGTATAACTTTACGTGAAAAAGATCGGTGCAGTAATTATTGAGTTTTTAACCAAAACATTTTCTAATACGTGGTGATTTGTATAAAACCGTGACCTACGACAACTCGCCGCTTACTCCCTGTGACGTAGATGGGCTCATTGCATCGTTAGGCCGTCCGCACAGTTATGAAGTCTACAAGATGGATTCATATAGCTGCGCCGGTTGTAAAAGTGATATGGCAAGTAATGAATTTATAAGTTGTCATGGTTGTAAATTAAAGTACGATGTGTTGTGTGCAAACTTGTCACCAAAGCGATTTAGGAAAATGAGCCTAGAAGCTAAAACTCAATGGAAATGCTCAGAGTACAAAAGCAAGCAACCAAAAACAGGCAATTTAGATATACCAATTCGCTCTATTAGTCACTCCAAGATTGATGACAAAGTTAAACCCGAGTATCTATCTCAAGATTGTAATGTAACTGTGCGAAGAAATCGTTCAGTGGACTCACAACTTTCTCAAGAAAAATTCAAAGAAATCCTAAAAAAAGAATTGATAACGGAAATTGAGGCCATGCTTGAAAAAATACTGACTCGAATGGTATCAAATCAGCTGAAGGATATAAATAGTCGCTTTGTCGAACTTCAAGAGTCTATGAATTATATTTCTGGACAATATAATGACTTAAAAAAACACCTAGACTCCACCACATCGGATTTGCAGTGCCTCAAGGATGAGAACAAATTCCTCAAAGAACAATTAAATCACCTCACAACTCGTGTGACGACTCTGGAAGACGATAACAGGAAGCAACAACAGTGGGCCAGATTGCAAAATATCGAAATCGCTGGCATACCAGAAGATAAGGATGATAACACATTAACTATTATACAAAAGATTTCGAAGCATATTGGAGTCTCAATCGAACTCTCTGAAGTGGAGTTTGCGCATCGCGTGCAGTTGCGGCATGCCACAAGCACCGTGCGAGCGCGCCCTATTGTCGCTCGGTTAAGGCATCGTTTTACTAAAGACAAAATAATGGCCGCCGCACGTAAACATCGTAATTTAAAAGCCAGTGATATGTGGTTTGGATGTGTAACTAATATGATTTTTATAAATGAGCATCTAACAAAAGAAAATAAAATGCTTCTTTCACAGTGCAAACGAAAGGTAAAGGAACTAAATTACAAATTCATTTGGACAAAAAACTGCCGTATTTTCGTTCGAAAAAACGGGGCTTCACCTCCAATCTCCATATCTTCTTCGGCAGATATTGTGAAAATTATTTAAAATCTACTTACCTGTTTATTCAGTCTAATTTGAAGCGTTTTCGTAAATTACTTGTGAAAAGGTATGCACTTGTTACAAATTCTATGCTTTTTATCAGTTAACACAACTAGATACACTGTACACTATCAAAAACTCACACACGTATCATACATTATTCTCACATACATTAATAAACATTACCAAAATCACATATACCTGCACTCATCTAACGCTTTACTTATATACATATATTTATTACATTCTCAAATATAAATACAGAATATCCTTTAAAAGATATAATGTAATTTATTATCGATTAATAATAACTATTTACAAGTAAAATGTACACATTTATTAATCATTTATTACTTATTCTTATTAAAAACTATTATTAACTATAATTATTCATATCTTACGCCTATACCTTGCTACATTTTTAGGTACTTTGATTATGTAATTGTTCACTATAACTATTATAAGTACTGGCATCGTCAACTGTTTTTTTTATGGATACTACACTGAAAGAATCAAAACTGTTTTATCAGAACGTACGGGGTTTGAGGACTAAGCCTAATGAATTTTATAATAATTTACTGTTGCTTGATTACGATGTGGTTATGATAACCGAAACTTGGCTTTATGACGGAATCCTGGATTCAGAACTATGTAATGATAAATATAATGTGTTTCGTCGTGACCGTGGGTCGTTGGGAGGGGGGGTCATGTTAATGTGTGCACCATACTTGCAGGCCTGTATGAGATCCGAATGGCATTCTGATAACCTTGAGTGCGTTTGGGTGACGGTGCCTTCTAGTGCTGTGGGATTAGAGCACGATCTCCACATAGCAGTGGTTTACATACCCCCTAACTCATCACTCTCAGAGAGAACCAGACTGTTTGTAAATCTTATATCACAAATACGTAATAATCGTCCCAATGATCAGTTTATACTTGAAGGCGACTTTAACCTACCGTGTATAGACTGGACACAAGATGGACCTGTCATACTCAGGAAAGGCCCTGCTGAAGTCCAGCATTCTGCATCACAGCTCATTGACCATACGGCTTTCATAGGTCTTATGCAATATAATACCATCTTAAATAATAGTAATAAAATACTAGACCTAATTTTTTCAGACTCGTTCATCACTGTTAGTAGATCCAACTTCCACCTTGTTAAAGAAGACTGTCACCACCCTTCACTCATTATCACTGCGTCAGATATACTCATACCTCCCTTGAAGACACAATCGCGATCAAAGTATATTTATGAGCGTGCTGACTTTAATATCATTAATTAAATGTTAAATCAACAGGATTGGTCGTTTATATTAGAGATTACCACAAATATTGAGACTATAATAGCTGGTTTTTATGCAATTATAAATAACTGCATAGAAACATATGTTCTTCAGGTTTACCACTCTGGTGTGCACACTTCCCATCTGATATAGCAGGCCGTTAATAAATTTAATTAAAGAAAAGTTTAGAGTTCACAAACACTGGAAAAAATACAAAAACCCAAACGACTATGCTCAATTTTTAGACTTAAGAAGTAGACAAAACGAAATGCAGTCTGACTGTTATAACTCCTATATAAAATCTTCACAACGAAAAATTAAAAATAACCCCAAATACTTCTGGTCCTATGTAAAATCTAAGAGAAAAAATATTTGTAATTATCCTCAACAGATGACGTACAATAATTTAGTTATCGGTAACAGTTTTAACATTTGTTCCGCTTTTAATAAGTTTTTTGAAAGAAATTTTAATAAACCGTCTGATCTATATTTACAAGATGCGCATAATAATCCATTGCAAATTGCTACTATACATGACATTAAAATTTATAAAGAGTATATTTTAAAGCTAATTAAAAATCTCGACATATCGAAAGGTGCGGGTAGCGACAATATTCCAACAATATTCTTCACCAAGTGTGCAGATGCTCTATCTCTTCCTATCTCACATATTTTTAATCGATGTTTTCAGGGAGGCTACTTTCCTCGCATTTGGAAAACAGCCCATATTGTACCAATTCATAAAAAAGGTCTTAAATCAACAATTGAGAACTACCGTCCCATTTCGATCCTGAACGTACTCAGTAAACTTTGTGAAAGAGTAGTACATGCTCATATATATCCAATAATTGCCACATCGATTCTCTCTGAACAACATGGATTTATAAAAGGCCGGTCAACTACTACAAACCTTGGAGTTTTTGTAGACTATGTATCGAATAGTATGGATGGTGGATCACAAGTAGATCTAATATATACGGATTTTGAGAAGGCATTTGACCGTGTTGAACACAGTACCCTTCTGCGTAAACTATCTGAACTGGGTATCCACGGTAATTTGTTGAGATGGTTCGAGTGATATCTGCGCAATCGTTCTCAAGCTGTAGTGGTAGGTAGTTCACGCTCCGACTTTTTGGAGGTACCATCTGGCGTACCGCAGGGTTCCATCCTGGGACCCTGCGGTACGCCAGATGTTATATGCCACGTACTTATATGATGTTCATAGATGCTTTAAGCATGCAAAATTTTTAATGTATGCTGATGATACAAAAATCTTTATGAAAATTAATGGGATTACTGATTGTAGTAAACTTCAAGCCGATCTAGATAGATTAAACTCTTATTATATTGAAAATCGTATTGGTATTAATTTAAAGAAATGTTGTTTTGTATCATTCACTAGAAAAATTAATCCAATTAAATGCAATTATAAAATAAATAATTTTACTTTATCAGAGATGAATAGTGTACTTGATTTAGGGGTAAAAATGGATTCAAAATAAACATTTTCTGAACATATCGATACAATAGTCGCGAAAGCATACAAAAATTTGGGTTTTGTTTTACGAGTCAGTAAGCCCTTTTCTGACATTGGATGTTTACGAGTACTATACTTTGCATATGTCATAAGTATTCTGGAGTATAATAGTATAATATGGAATCCACAATATGTGACGTATATTCAAAAGCTAGAGAATATT